CCCTCCTCCAGCCCACATGTATACACTTATTTTTTCATTCCTTTCCTTCTGGTGTGAGGAAGGAAACATGTCTGCTACAACATTTCAGTAAAAAGGACATGAGAAAATAAATTCAGGTGATATTTGGGGATAGCTCTTCCAGGATAAGCAGCTGCAACATGCTTTATCTTTCCCAGACACATTCTTCTTCCATGTCTAACCATAAAGTTATATATATATATTTTTTTAATATATATTTTATATATATATTTGACTAATTTAACACAGAGAAGACAGTGATAGGTATCAGGAGAAGCTGGTGGCCAGGAAAGGGAGGCTTCTGATGCATTTCTAGTGAAGCAATTGTTGCAAAGGCCAAACCAGGAGGGAATTTGGGGAGCTCATATTTTGTTCTGTTCAAATATCATCCAAGAGTTATTAACTCTTTCAAAAAAATTTTAAATTTCACATCCACATTATGTAGAGTAACTTCTTCCTTTGTAGCATCTCAGTCACCTGTTGGCTTGTTTTTTGTTGCATTCAGGGAGCGATGAAAGCATCCTTAATAATGTTTCCTAGTTAAGCCCAACCATTACATGTTGAAATCATCTCCTTAATTATTAAAATAATTTTCATTTACTTAGCTTTTATATCAGTGAATTGTTTTAGCAATTTTTCTAAAAATTATGGTAAATATTACTTAAAATTTTAATGTCAGGTTCAAACAGAGCTCACCAAATTATTATATTCAAAAAGGGAACTTTGGGGCTGACAGGTGTGAGAAGTACTGCTTTTCCTAAATTCTTATCTGTAACCCCTGTTTAATTAGCTACATAAGTACTGACCTCACAGGAGGTCAGCAAACATGGGTCAGAAAACTCACTACTGCTCCAAATGGCTGCATGGAATTTGGCTAAAGGATTTCCTGGCCTTGCGATTTAAAGATTCTTGTCAGATTGATGCCCTTAAAACGCCAGAGTTCCCTTCTTGCTTTTAATTTCTTCATTAAAAAAATGAAATAAAGCTTCTTTATAGTATGACCTAGGTTATGCTACTTATTTTATTCTTCGTTAAATTATGGGATACCTAGGGGGGTGGGACTGTCTTCATAGTCTACCCCACCCAGTTCCTAGTTCTTTGTACTTTCAGGTACAACTTAAAGCTTCTTTAAGTTGAATCAATCACATTCATTTTGTATATGTCTTTGCTCTAAGCCATTCTCTTTACAGTCACTTTGCAATCACCTTGTCTAGAAAGAACAGAGCTGATAACACCTTTATGACAAGGAACCAGAGCCACCTGGAGCTACCACTCTCCCAGTAAGGACAATTCACATACCAAGCGAGAGTAATCCTCTCAAATAGGAATCAGATTACTCCCTCCAGGTGATAACTTCCCAGAACTGGATCAAACCACCAGACCACCTGCCTGACCAAGATTGCTGGCTCCACCAGTCACAAGACCAACAAAATCACACCTGTGACTGAACTGTTTAGCTATGCATACCTTTGTCCCCTACCACCAGCTCTTTTGTCTAAAACCTATAGCTCATTTCTGTACACTGAAGATGGCTGATGATGAACTGAGTGCTTACTCTGCCTCTTCTCATGGCATGTCCCAAGCCATGTAATTAATCTTTCTCTGACTTCACCATGCCTCTTTATTTGGCCTTTAGGGCTGGGTGGCAGGACCTGGCATATGGAATCTCAGGAGTTTGGGCCTTGGGTCCTAAACTGCAGTTTCAGTAACGCATTTGAAATGGTTTGGAAGTTTACAGATGATGCTGTACAAGTGTTTTCTACATCAAGTAATCCAAAATGTAACTCAGATAAATTGTGATCACATTCATTGACTGTGCCCAACACAATATCTTAGCTAAAGGGGGGTAGAGCACATGGAATCTAGAAATGAGTGAAAAAGAGTTAAGCTTTGTTTCTTAACATCTCTGTGGAAGGAAGCACTGTTTCCAATGAGGAAAATAAAAAATTTTCTATGTTGGATGAGGGCCATTTATTCTGGTGATGGCTTGGAAAAAATAATGTCCTTCAGGATCAGATCCCCTTATCTTTCTGTGTTCCCATACCTTACTTTCTGATCAACAAATTGCTCTTTGGGGGAAAATATTGACCAAACTTGGAGGGAGAGATGTGGGAGGCAAATTATGTGAATTCTTGAAGCAACTAAGTATAAATTCCAGTGTATAAAACAATAACATCCCAGTTTACAGAGTAGCCACAAATTCCTTCTGCATGCTTCTCTCCATTTTGCACACAGATTTTAGCCACTCTATCCCCCATATTCCTTTAGATATCTTCCCAGTTGACAATTTCAAGTCATTTATGTACTTCCAGGCAGAATCACATGTATTTTTAATGAAAAGTAGCCTCTATAATCTTTAGCCTAACCTACACAATGGGTTTAGGTAACTTAATCCCTCTAAATTCATATTTTCTCTCCTGGGTTTTATCTGGTTATTTTTTGGAAAATAACCAGTACAGAATTGGTTGCATTAATGGAGAGCATCAAAGGCACCAGTGCCAGGAAGCATCATGATAAAAATTTTAAAACAAATACATGGTCAATTTGCTGTCTTTAGATATGTTATAGTGAGATGCAGGAATTGAGGGATTGACAGATATATGCGTGCACGTAAATATATAACATAAAAACACACATTACATTTATACACATACACAAGAGAGATGTCACACAAATTTTGTGAGAAGATGAGCAAATGAAATTTATAAGAGCTGAAGGAAGTCAAAGCTCAGCCAACCCTAATATTCAGGAAGGGCATCAGGGAATGAATAAATGAAACTTGATTGGGCTCTGGAGGATAAATTAGGATTTAGATAGCTCTAGAAGCAGAGGGGGAGTGCAATTAATTAAGATTTCATGAAGCATCAATTGTATCAATTCTGTTCTAAATATAGATTCAAAGAATGTGATGAAAACAACTGAAATGAAGTTGCATTAGGACCCTCAAACACTACCTGGAAATCAGTTATCTTGGTCCTAGTCTGCAAACTCAGGAGCAAAGATGGCTGGAGATTGGCCACGAACTCTTAATTTTAGTCAAAACCTTGAGTTTTTTGCAACCCATGGGCTTTTTAAATGGTATCTGTCAATTTTCTTTTTCTCTTCCTCCTCTCTAAAAGAAAATACTAGTATCTAAAGAGACACTATTAGTTGTCTCTCATTTATAACTTTTTCTTTATGCAAGCTAAATGATGCTTGGAATATGTTTTTATAAAAGAGTTCCTTCCCTCTTGGTTATATTTTCAGTACAATATTTGATACACAAAGGGACTATAAGGAATACACATTTAACATATAGAGCAGATTATATCAAACACCCAAGACCATACTTCTGATACCCAAAGTAGATTATTGGCAGCAACTTGTTTGTCTGTGCTTTTCCCATTCCCTCGCCTTGACTAAGCAAATGAGTGATATTTAAAATTTTTTATTTATGAGTCTTCCTTAAAAAGTTTTTGTAGAGCTAGGACTGTAATCCCAACAGTCAGGAAGCTCTTGAGTTGGAGGTTCCTGGGATATTTAGCCAGACCTTGTCTCAAAAACAAAACAAAAGCTTTTATAATCACACACATGCTTCAAAATACACTTAAAAACTATAGAATTTAGTTTGGGTTTTCTTCTTGCTGTGTTATGTGTGCGTGTGTGTGTGTGTGTCTTGGTTACTGGGGTTGGATTTCAGGGCTTCACACTTTTTACACAAGCACTTTACCATTTGAGCCACACCTCCAGTCCTACTTTAGGGTTTTAAGCCTTATTATAAAATGGTTCTATGATCTAAGAAATGTTTCTGAAATTGTCTTGTCCAATCATTGTCTCCTCTGTATGATGCCGCATCCCATAAAGGTACCACAAATGCATTCGTTCTTTTACCATGAACACATGGCTGCTTCTAGGGTTTTGCTGTAAGGATATCACTGATAGTTTTGTGTCTCCAGACACATGTGGATAACATGTACCATAAAAACACTTCAGCAAATGAAGCTCAATGTGGAAGCCTGCTCATACTGATTTCTGGCAAAGCCCAAAATGTTTTTAAATACACCATTCTTAAGGGCTTAAAATGGAGAAGCGATATTCCAATAATGAAATGTCAGCTGGGGGCCAAATATACCTCTTTGGTTTATTTGTGCCAAGCTGACAGATCAAACCAGGCAGTTTGCTTTAGTTTGTTTTTTTTTTTTTTTTTTTTGACAGGGTCTTGTGCTTTTGTCCTGAGGGGACTATGACCTTCCTGTCTCCACTTCCTGAGTAGTTAGGATTACAGTCACACACCAGCATGCCCAGCCTGATATTTAGAAAAAAAAAAAAAAAAATGGAGAAGCGATGATTATTTGAGTTGAAGGAGGGAAACAGAGGGCAACAGTCCCTCTGCTCTACTTCCTCAAAATGGACAAAAAGTAAATGAAAGTGACACAGTAAGAAAACATGCAGTGGACCACAGCAGGAAAGGTGGGGAGTAAGTTAATCCTGTCCGTGGAGAGGAATTCCACTCGAAATAAAGAAGTGGATAAACTGTCATAGTCCCTCCCACAAACCTGCACTGCCTCAAATCCTTCTAATTAGAGCTACAAAGAGAAACCGGTGGCTTTCAAATTGCCCGCGCAGCATCTGGATTGGCCACTTGCACCAATTGAGCTGTTGATGAGTAGGATACTCTTAAGTTGGCTTGACTTTCTTCTATTTTCAACCTTTTCAAACTCAGAAGAGGGAAGCAAGCAATACGTCCCCTTCTCCACACAAAGGCGAATCCCTGTAACAAGCACCTCACCACACAGACACTTAAAGTAAGCACGTTTTATTTCTGAATTAATAAAATGCTTTTACTAGGCTTGTCATAAACCCATGCAAAATTGTCTCAAATACTGGTGTAGATCGCATTGAATTCCAGTGCTTAATTCTAACAAGGCAAAAAGAAAGTTAATTTTTATAGTAAGTAAGTAACCTGATGAAAAGCTTAGTGCCAGTTCTCTTTTGAAAGACTGAATGGCTCTGAAAAGAGCCTTTGGGGTGAGAGCCGAGAATGACCTGTCGCTGCACTGTGGACGGACTCACTTGGAACTGGTGTACTTGGTGACGGCCTTGGTCCCCTCGGACACGGCGTGCTTGGCCAGCTCCCCGGGCAGCAGCAGGCGCACGGCCGTCTGGATCTCCCGGGACGTGATGGTCGAGCGCTTGTTGTAATGCGCCAGGCGAGACGCCTCCCCCGCGATGCGCTCGAAGATGTCGTTGACGAACGAGTTCATGATGCCCATGGCCTTGGACGAGATGCCGGTGTCCGGGTGGACCTGCTTCAGCACCTTGTACACGTACACGGAGTAGCTCTCCTTGCGGCTGCGCTTGCGCTTCTTGCCGTCCTTCTTCTGCGCCTTGGTCACCGCCTTCTTGGAGCCCTTCTTGGGCGCTGGAGCGGACTTTGAGGGCTCAGGCATGATGGAAAGTAACTTCCGGAGAGTAGGAGAACAGGAACAAAGAATTTAGGGGCTTAAAAACTCCCTATGTTAGCAGCTTCTCAAATTGTGAGTTTTATTTATGGCGATTTCTGTACACGTCATCTGGTTTGACCAATCAAAATGACTGTATTTCAAATCACGATGCCATTGGCTTAAGTGATACTCTAAACTGTAGCCAATGGCAGCGTTTCATTTTCGCGCCCTGTAATGACTATAAATACTACGGGTCTAGCTTGCATACTGCGTTGTACTAACGGTTGTTGTGCTTCGTTATGTCTGGACGTGGAAAGCAGGGAGGAAAGGCTCGCGCCAAGGCCAAGACCCGGTCCTCCCGTGCTGGCCTCCAGTTCCCCGTGGGCCGTGTCCACCGCCTGCTCCGCAAAGGCAACTACTCCGAGCGGGTGGGAGCCGGCGCCCCGGTGTATCTGGCGGCCGTGCTGGAGTACCTGACCGCCGAGATCCTGGAGCTGGCGGGCAACGCGGCCAGAGACAACAAGAAGACCCGCATCATCCCGCGCCACCTGCAGCTGGCCATCCGCAATGACGAGGAACTGAACAAGCTGCTGGGCAAAGTGACCATTGCTCAGGGCGGCGTCCTCCCCAACATCCAGGCGGTGCTGCTGCCCAAGAAGACTGAGAGCCACCATAAGGCCAAGGGCAAGTAGAGGCCTGGAGTATTTAAGCCACGCTACATCACTACGCTCAAACCAAAGGCTCTTTTCAGAGCCACTCATTGTTTCACCCAGGGAGTCTGTGCTGTTTTTATTTACCAGCTAAATTCTAAGCACATCTCAAGTGTAAACAGAAAGTGAAACCAAAGTCCCGAGTTGGCGTTGTTGAAGGGCCAGCAAGGATACAATGTTGTTTAACTTGTGTTTTAAAGTACCTGAATTCCAGGAGTGTCTTGAGAGACTGCTTGTAAAGAAAACTTCCTTACGGTTTAACAAGACTGAGGGTAAAATGTCTCTGGTCCTACTACAAGATTTAACGTTCATCCATAGCTATTTAAGGACTCTTGTCTACTTTCTTTGGGCACATATGGTCTGTCCAGACACCCAACTTATTGGAAATACAGTATTATAACCCACGAAACAGGCCTGGGCAGAGAGCAGTAGTGTAACAAATGAAGTAAAGGTGGGTAGGATTGTACTACGAAGAACTTGCTGCTTCACAAATACGGTGGACGTTTGTAAATCGGATTGTTTTTCCATATCAGGACCCTAGAGTCCTGTTTCTGTCATTTTTACTTCTTCCCTCATTATAATCACCCTGTTCTCAGATAATAGTAACCCCAGAAAAGGCCTGTTTCTCTCAATATAAACATACATCATCAGCTAATGTCTTTTTCTTCCTAAAGAAATCAATGAAAATAAATTTCTGTTCACATTTCTAATCCATTCTAATGTGTCCTGAAACGTTTGTATTTTCTATATTTAAATTTCTATTGCAATCATTTGCAAATAATGTACCTTAGAATAAAACAGCAACCACAGCCAGAGATAAATACTACTTCCTTTTGTATCTTCTTAAACTTTAAGCATTATTTGACTTGGAGATTTCAGTAAATCTAATTTCAGTAAATCCTGATTTCTATAAATCTAATTATTGCATTTTTCTCTCTTGAATTACATGCCACTGTTCATGCATATAAACAATCAGATATTTCCATTAGGACTAGAAATAGCAAGTGCAGTAAATGATACAGATCCAGAGAAAGCCTATGAGTTCTTTCAAATTTTAGTAAAATTTGCTTTTGTTATCATTGGTGTTGATACAATTAACATTTGGTTTAATTCACGGTTTCTATTTTCCACAAAATCACCACACTGTGAACATGTCATTATAATTATTGGTATGATTTATGTAAAGATTGAAATCAGTGAAATCAATTAATAAGCAAAAGTAAACTTTTATGTTTGGAAGTAAAATAAAATGCACAAGTGTGACATGGCCACATTTTAAAAAGTTGACTATTGCTCCACTTTTATTGGAAAAAACATCTACTTGCAAATGATACAAGAAGATGAATTATGTACAATTATCAGAAAAATAATATTTAGTTATTTTAGTGGCACTGGGGTTTGAACTCAGGGCCTCGTGCTTTCTAGGCCGGCATTCTTACTGGGTAAGCCGCTCTACCAACCTCCTGTTTTTAAAAATAGATAATACTTCCCAAGTATCGATAAAATAATTTACATACCATGTCAATTACATACTCGCAATTTCAATTAGAACCTGAAGAACGCTTCTAATTGTCACTTTGTGCTGTTAAGTTATTGTCATAAAGTCTAATTTTATTGTCAGGGGACTTATGAAAGCATTATTTAAACTTTTTCTCTCTGGAGTTATTTTTCCCATTAATTTCTCAGTATACATATAAGGCACCTAACAAAATATTTCCTTATTAGATTAATTGTGTATCTTATGTTGCTAGCTTATTAAGTCCTTTCGGAGAAAGATTAATTTTATGCATGTGTGTGTCTATAATTATCTCCTCTTCTAGATTTCACCTACTCTGCTTACTATTTCAATTGTTTATAAGAAAATATTACTGATGTGAGGTAGTGTGTGGGTGTAAAGAGGAACTAATCATGGGCCTTTTTATGTGATAATCATCTCATAATTTTAGCTTTTAGAATTAAGAGGTTTGGAGCATGTCACCCCAAAATAAGCCACTTTTAGAATATTGATTATTTTGAACTGAAGAAAATTAGGAATCAGCTAACACAGGGAAAACTTTTTGCCTCACTTCAACTCTTAAAAACGTAAATTTCCCATTTTGTAAAGGAAATTAATACTTACATAGTAAATTTTCATTGCTTACAGTATCTAGACCAGAAAGAGCTACTCAGAAACAAATTCTATCACCTAGACTTTTATCTATATAACAAGGTAACCTCTACTTACCCTACATTTCTCTCAGCTTCCTATTTGTCTGCTATCTCCCAGAAGCCCCAAACCTTTATTCCTTTCTGTATCACAGGATGTCCCAATCATCTGTCTGCTTCCTTGAGTCTCATATTTTTATATACTTATGTTAATTAAAATTGTTTTTCTCCTGCAAATCAGTCCTATGTCAACTTTACTCATAGGCTAGCATAAGAACCTGGAGCACTATAAGGAAGCATTTTTCCTCCCCTTCAGTTCTAAGAGGTTGTTTGAAAACATAAATCATTCAATAAAGATATAAATACATAAAAAATTGCACAGAATACATTCTTCTTTCAGACTAATGTTGAGGATATTTGGCCAAAAATGTTAAGAAATCTCTATATACATGATTCCAACAAATGTTTATTTATGACCATACATCTAAAAATAAATTCTAGCCACTGGTTGTCTAATATCTCACTTATATATTAACTTTGCATATTAGTATGCTTTAAATTTTAGTGTGAATGCAAGAGGTTTAAAAGTTGAAAAAATTAAAATTATACTTTTCATCAATTCGCTAACAAAAAAATACAATAAAAAGGGAAAGTTTTCTTCAAAAAGGAATTTGCAAGTAAAGAAAATGCACCCTGTTATACAAAACAAAAGTGTGCTGGAAAACAAGAGTGAGGGTCTCTTTTACTTACACAAAATTCCTGCCCACTGGATAAAGGTCATGCAAAGAGGGATAAAAGGCTGTGAGGCTGGAATTCCTTCAGTTCTGATGTTCTAGTTTGACTACAGGTCACAGCTTATTGATTAGGTCCTCTGGCAAAAACTTGCCTTCCAGAGGTTATCTTGGCAGTTGAAATAGGAATGTGCTCCAGAATGTGTGCCAGAGTTCCTGGTGTCTTTAGGAGCACACAGCATGTGTGTAACCCCAGTTCTCAAATGGCTGCTGGCTCCATTTTGAATTTCAGCACAATTAGCAACTTGGGACCATCAAATACTCTGCTTTTCTTAAGGTTCACATATAAAACAGGTATATTGTGTGCTTATTATGTTACATAGTTATCTCCATTAATTTTTGCAGTAACTTTTGGGAGAAGTACTGTTGCTATTCTAATCTTACTTTACAAATGAACAAAGATTTAGAAAGCATAAAGTACCAACTGAAATCTGTTGAACAGAGAAGACTTAAATTCAGGTTTTCTAATTTCAATTTGAGTTCTTAACCGCTAAACACTTTAAAAAAGAACAAGGGAATACATTAGTGTAGTTGTAGCAGTCTTAAAATTTTCAATACTGCTAAAAGAATTTCAGTATTATCCTGAGTTTCTAAGAAAAGGAGGAGAAAAAAACAAAATATGTAAACACACCATATTAAATGTTGAGAATTAAAATTTCAGTTGGGTCATTTAAACCTCTGTGTGTGTGTGTGTGTGTGTGTGTGTGTGTTACTGGAGTTTGAACTCTTGAGTTTTGCTCTCAAAGCAACCACTCTACCACTGGTCTACAACTCCAGTTCTACTTGAGTCATTTAAAAAAGACTAAAAGCCTAGAAACAAGTTGCTGGTTATAAAAATTTGCTCTATTAGGATTCAATTCAATTCTAATTTATAAAGTGAATACATCTATGGAAAAAATTTCAAAGGAATGTTATTCAAACCTCATAAAATGATTCTAAAGTTACACTTAAAAGGACACTTGGTAAAAATAGATCAAGAAATTTTGAAAAGAAATGAGGCTTGCAATATTAAATATTGAAACTTCTAATAAGGTTAAAATTAAAAATCTTGACAGTGAAAAAGAAATCTCAATATTGATCCTAAGTGTAATGAGTACATATATATATATATATTTGACATATATATATATGTCAAATACAGAAAATGTTATAAAAACTTGTTAAAATACATTTTAAAAGATGCTATTAAAATATGTATTATTTAAAAAATGTTATAGAAACATGAATTATTTTTTAAAATCTCACCGACTCACAAATGGCTAGGAAACTTGTTAAAACTGTGCTTTCATAGAGGGAATGATAGGCAGACATTAAAATCACTTTGAGGAAAACTGTTGAGACAAGGTAAGTTGATTTTAAAATAATGTGAAAAGGTCAAGGTGCCATTTACAGCACGGTGCACATTTTCCTAGACCATGTGCATTTGTAAATAGCGGTCTCTGTGCGATGGGATACCTGCTTGTTATTTGATTGTTTGACGTCTTTTAGTATTTTCCACAACATTCATATTGTTGTTTTGCGTTGAAAACCAATTCTTTAAAGCCTTAAAGGGGATCACCTGTTTCCGGGTCCCCCTGCATTCTCCAGTATGCAGTCTTTCTCTTCTCTTTTCTCCAACTAAATTCTCTACAAATAAAATCTTTCCGACCTCTGCCAAAAAAAAGCCTTAAACACAGAACAAGGAAACAAAAAGCTCCCTGCCTCCCACCCATTTTATTTATTTATTTATTTAGGCCTGTTGGACGCCTCCTCCCTTCCGGGGGCGGGGCCTGACTTCCCGCCTTCTCTCTGCTGCTCTCAATTCGGTCCGCCAGCGGTCCTATAAAGGCCCTGCTTCAGCTCTGTGTCCTCACAGTTTTCTGCCACGGTGTTCTTTGTGTCCGGTTCCATTATGTCTGGACGCGGCAAAGGCGGGAAGGGTCTTGGCAAGGGCGGCGCTAAGCGTCACCGCAAAGTCCTGCGTGACAACATCCAGGGCATCACCAAGCCCGCCATCCGGCGCCTGGCCCGCCGCGGCGGAGTCAAGCGCATCTCCGGCCTCATCTATGAGGAGACCCGTGGGGTGCTCAAGGTTTTCCTGGAGAACGTGATCCGGGACGCCGTCACCTACACGGAGCACGCCAAGCGCAAGACGGTGACCGCCATGGACGTGGTCTACGCGCTCAAGCGCCAGGGCCGCACCCTCTACGGCTTCGGCGGCTGAGTGCAGGCGCTTTTCCTAATTTCCAACAAAGGCCCTTTTCAGGGCCCCCACCTGCTCAATGAGGAGTTGTCTCACTGGCTTGATAACACCTGCTTTTTCATGGTGCTCTGTTCATTGCTGGCTTTGAATTCTTACTTTTCCGTCGTACCATGCTGAATGAGGAAAGCAATCTGGCCGCTCCCTCCAACTTGAGGGCGTTCTGTAAAATAGGCAAGGGACTTTGAACACGTTTTGCTGGTGGAGTACTTACAAGCATATCATCTCCAGATCTGATCCAATGTAAATTTGCTAAATTGTAACTTAAGCCCCACGCAACAGCCATTCTGTGCTGAATGAGATGAAATTTTTCTTAAGCTGGTTTATTTTGCTCTATTCTGCTGGTTCTTCCATGTTGCAAGGTAGGATTTCCTTAAGATTGGATAACAATGGTGGATATTGTCGATAACCATATTTTCTTACCTAGTCATCTTGGCAATGGTCGCTTGGATTGGTTTAAGAGTCTTTCAATCTTAAACTTGTTAAACCTAGTGAGTAAATGCTATTTTTTTCGTGGTGAAATTCAACCGATTGTTTCTTGATGTATGTCATTAGTGATAAAAACTCAAGGAGAGACAATTACAGTACCATTTTAATTCAGATACAATAATACAAAAGTTGGCCAAGTATGGAGTGCAGATGTGTCTTTTAGACTTTTAACAATTTAAGGCTTTGCCAATAATGTTTAAAAAATTACATGAAAAAATAATTTTTAATCCCAGAAAAATCGTAACTAAGTGGGCCCCCATAAATTTTTTACTTAAACATAAAAAACATTCTTACTAGGGCTGGCAAAGTGGCTCAAAAGGGTAAGCCTGCCTAACGAGCATGAAGCCCTGCGTTCAAACCCCTGTGCTGCCAAGAAAAAGATAAAGAAAACCCTTTCTGCTGACAACGTAAATAATAAAGATTTAAAGTTAAGATGTAAATACTGTTTTTACAACTTTCTGCAACCATATGATGGTGAAATGTTTTGTGTAACATCATTAGAAACAGATGACCTGGGATCAAATACATACCAATTATTCTCTAGTTACAGGAAATTGGGCTAAGTTAGTCTGAGCCTCTATTTCTTCATTTCAACAACTTTGTTTTGATAGCTGATGATGATGATGGTGATAACTACCCAAAGTGTTGTGATGACTAATTGAGTCAATAAAAGTGCTTACAGCATAATACTGACATTCAGTATTATTTGTTTATGAGTAATAATTGCATATGTCATTGTGACTCCTGAAGTGAGAGCAATGTTTTGTTGTTGATTTGGTTTATTTGGGGGCAAGGGGGGCACTTGTTTTGTTTTGTTTTTTAAGGCAGCATCTCACTGTAGTTCAGTCTGGCCTTGAACTCATGATCCTCCTGCTGTAACATGTACTGAAACTGCTTTTGCTGAAAAACACTATTTACTAGGGTCCATGAATTACCTAAAGTCAGGGGGGAAAGTTAGACATCCCAGACTCCCATTTTAGTATCTATCCTTGTGCTGAGCCATTCACCGTGCAGCCACCTTGGAATCCAGGAGGAGCATGACTGATTGATAACATCATAAAAAGGAGGGATGGAGGAAACTGTTTCCAAGAAAAGGAACAGAAAGCCTCCTCAGGACAGACCACAAGCAGGCAGCAATGACTCGCTTATCCTCACCAGATTGCTCCCCTCCATTGATGACTGAGATAATAACTTTTCCAAAATCACTTCCATAACAAGGACTGAAATAATGATCAAGCTACTTTGACCTGAACTGTTTAATCAATCGGTATACCTTTCACCCCTGCACAGATTCTTTGTGTATTTCAACCTAAAGGTCATGTCTGAACACCAGAAGGTGGGCTAAAGTGCTTACTTTGCATGAATAAATCTCCTTTCTGTGCCCTTCACTATTATTCCTCTCTTTATTTGGTACACAGGGGTTAGAGGGCAGATCTGACATGTGGACTCCCTGGAGTTCAGGCTAAGTGCCTAAAACTCCAGAGTACTGGGATTACAGACAAGCACCACTATGCATGGAGAGAGCAACCTTTTTTAATAAGTACCCTACAGTACTTGAGATTCAAGCAGCCAAGTGTGATTAGATGTAAGAGATACGCCAGTCTACTAATACCCCAGTATCAATACATTTCTTCCCTTCTTGCTTATGTAAACATTGTTTTGATTATTCCTGCTGTACCATACTTTTTTTTAGTTTACACTCACATTCTGTATCATAAATGAAAAACAGAGAAAACTTCTTTGGCTTTCTGAGGAATGACTGCAGCATAACCCAATAGGTTTGCTATGATTTTTTATCTAACTCTAACTCTCCATGTTTTTGTTACCTTTCTATTAATTCTCATCTCTTGCCCTTTCTCCCACAGGTAGTATAGAATTTAACTTGCAAAAAGAAACCCAGACATCATGTGGACTAGAGCTCTTGTAAGTGACAGCACACTAGAATTAGGACGTTTTGTTCAAATATCAATGGTTATCGGTGATTGAATATCAACTGGTGCTTTTATTTATTTTTAGTGGAGCTGAAGGTTAAACCCAGGGCCTTTCACATACTGGGCAAATGCTCTAAAACTGAGCTATATCCCAAACACTACTCCCCTTTTTTGGAGACAGGGTCTGGTTGGCTGATTGCCCAGACTGGCCTTGTACTTGCAATTCTCCTGCCTCAGCCTCCAGAGTAGCTGGAATTAGGGAATATGCTCAATAACTGTTTTGTTTTTGGTTTTCCCTCAAAACAATTAAATTGGAATATGTGGACTTGGTTGACTCATATATAGTCAAGAGAGAGCTCAATGGCCAACATCAGAAGTTGGTAAATTCAACCATTTATTCAATAAATAAGTACATTTACTACATTTCAGACACTATTCTTGGCATAGTGATAGAAAATTAAATTGTGCTCTGCCCTTAGTACTTACTTTTTATTAGAAGACAAAATAAACTTCTAAAAAATTCCACTTTTCAATATCTAATGACCAATTATCAGTCTTTAGACATCATTGTACTTGGCCTACTGGAAGCACAATACAATTGACCTTACAGTTTCTCTGTGCTTTACTTACTGCTTTTGGTTCTACCTTACTAGTTGCTCTGATCTATCTCTTCTCCCCAGCCCTTTGATGTTGGGCAGCACAAAATGGTTTTTTACTGCTTCTCTGTCTATACTGACTGATTTAGAGATCTTACCCAGTAGGTATTTAAATGACATCTGTACTTCAGTGACTTTCAGTTTTATATCTCCAGCCCAGAGTTTTCTATAAAACTTTAGGTATCTATCCAACTCTGCTTTTTTTCTTCATGTTGATATTTTGTACACTAAGCTAACATCCACTGATACTCCCCCTCCCAATTGTCCTTTATTAAAAAACAAAACAAAAGACTACCTATTCACTTAATAATAGCATCATCTTTGTTCTTTTTCACCCTTAAATCCAATTCTTTAAGATTCTCCTTTGATTTACCTTCCAAATACATACAGAAACTGACCAGTTCTCAACATCTTCATGTGTAAGTGACTTATCTCTAAATTTTTGGCTTTGGCTTACTTTATGTTTCCCTTGTTTCCACTCTTGATTCCCTGATATCCTTGTAGGAGGTTATCTTGAGGTGCTGGTATTCAACCAAATACACTACCAAGCAAGGTCTCTTATGGCACAAAAAGACTCAGACAAAAATAAAATGCCAAGGAAATGTGTTTTCTTAAATCAATTGAGAAACAAACCCTACAGCAAAGGAAAAGAAATGGGTAAGTTAACACCTAGGATAAGGATGGACTAGAGCAGAAAAGTTGTGGGTTATACTGTTCATATATTTCCCACTGCTGCTTCAGCCTTCTTCATTGATTGTGTGGTTATAAACACCCAAGTCCAGGCTTGGGCATGATGGAAGGTACCCTGGGCCAATGACAGGTACCTGTGCTATTAAAGAAGAGACAAATATCCTGACCAGAGCCAATGCTCAACACAAACCTCCAGAACAGCCATGTGTTTTGTGTTTCCTGGGTAAAGGATAGATAGAGCCAGACTGGAATTTAGGCACTCTACATCTCAAATATATCTAGTGTATCACAAATATTTAATGTCTTGTGTATCTCATACACATTCAGTACTAGGTATGTTTTATATATATATATATATATATCCTAATGAATATTATCTTTCTTTTGATTTTTTTATTCCTTCCTTTTTATATTTAAACACCCATCTCTACCTACTAAATATCTATACTTATCTTAGGATCCTATTTCATCCATTGCATTGGTTTCACAGTAGCAGAACTAAATAGTTTCAAAAAGTACAAGAAATGCAAAAAAAAAAAAAAAAAGAAATGCATATTTCAAAATGTCAGCAACTCAAGACCATTAATTGCTTCAAATATAATCCAATCCTTGAGTAGGTATTTTATAATATGATAGTTTACATATAATCTTTTGTTCAACTTGGACTACTTTAATAATATGATTATGAAAAGAGATAAAACCTTGCTTGTTTCAAGAAAGATCATTTAAGAGCCAAGTGTGGTGGTTCACATCTATAATCCCCAGCTACTCAAGAGACTGAGGCAGGAAGTTGTCCAGTTCGAGGCTAGTCCCAGCAAGGTTAGTGAGATCCTAGCTCAAAAAAAAAAAAAAAATCATTTAGTTGTAACTACATCCCTATGAAAAGGTAAGTGAGGTAGCCCTTGCCCATCATGCACCAAACCCTGAGTTTAACCCCCAGTACTGGGGTGGGGGGTTGGGGGGTGGAATGAGACTCAATAATAGCAGTTTGTATAATATCCAATAACTCTTCTGTGTTTTGTGGACGAAGCCAATCAATATGCATCGTATATTTTCTGCAATGTCATTATTCCTAAATTTTCCTAACAACATATCAGAAGCATTTAATAGAATATTTTTCTAAAATTTAAGAAGTCAGTTGAAAATAGAAAGCACTAAATGTCATTTAAAAAGGCATTGGTAAAGGAAATTTTGCCACAAAAAAATTAGGTTATTCCATCCTAACAGTCTGCTTCTGTTAGGCCTGGAAAATCTGAAATCAATCCTGTGTTGAGTATGGCACCTATTATAGTCCTTTCTTAAAGTTCTTTTGATGGTTTTGAAAACTCAACTTCAGATCTGTATTTTGCAGGATGGGCCTTTAGATAACTACAAGGAAAAACAAGAACCATCTGCTAATGACGAGAGGATAGGTCTTGTTCATTTATTACACTGGGCAATATTATTGAAAAGTAACATCCTTTATCTAGGAATCATACTATCCATGAGAACACTGACAAACTTCTGGGGTCTTATGTTTCCCATAAATTATATTCGACCAAACGATTATTATTGCGACCAAATAACTAGGGCATTTACAGTCAATGGACAAAATCAATTTGTTGCCATTTTTATGCTAATCTTTGTTATGAACTTAAGTATGTTTTAGTTAAAAGCAAACTGCCAGTAACATTTTACTACTTAAGAATGTAGTTTCCTTTTTAAAATTTGCCCCCTTTTCTAATATTATACAATATATAACAGCAATTCTCACAACCGTATATGACTATTTACAATTCCACTCTGCTAGTTAAAATCTCAAAATATTAACAGATGTTTGGGCGCGCGCATGCGCACATAAATCTCGCGGATAAGATGGGTTAACTTTAACCGAACGAGCGTCACACCGCTCCTCATTGAGCAGGTGGGGGCCCTGAAAAGGGCCTTTGTTGGAAATTAGGAAAAGCGCCTGCACTCAGCCGCCGAAGCCGTAGAGGGTGCGGCCCTGGCGCTTGAGCGCGTAGACCACGTCCATGGCGGTCACCGTCTTGCGCTTGGCGTGCTCCGTGTAGGTGACGGCGTCCCGGATCACGTTCTCCAGGAAAACCTTGAGCACCCCACGGGTCTCCTCATAGATGAGGCCGGAGATGCGCTTGACTCCGCCGCGGCGGGCCAGGCGCCGGATGGCGGGCTTGGTGATGCCCTGGATGTTGTCACGCAGGACTTTGCGGTGACGCTTAGCGCCACCCTTGCCAAGACCCTTCCCGCCTTTGCCGCGTCCAGACATAATGAGAACTGGACACAAAGAACACCGTGGCAGAAAACTGTGAAGACAGAGAGCTGAAGCAGGGCCTTTATAGGACCGCTGGCGGACCGAACTGAGAGCAGCAGAGAGAAGGCGGGAAGTCAGGCCCCGCCCCCGGAAGGGAGGAGGCGTCCAACAGGCCAAAAAAAAGGTGGGTCAGGAGTTTTTGTTTCCTTGACCTATATTGTTTAAGACTTTAAAGTATTCTTTGGAAACACAAAAGAAGACTTTAAATGTTGTAGAAAACACAAAAAGAGATCAAATAATCAAATGACAACCTACTGTTACATCACAGAGACCACTACTGCTAGCCAATATGGTATTTTAGGAAAAAATGCACTTACTCTTAAGAAAATGTGGATGAGGCTGTGATAGGCCTCTTGCTTCTTTTCATTCTTATATTTTAATCAATTTCCCTTGCCTAAACAGTTTTCCACAAAGTGGTTTTAATGCCTGACTACTCCCTCTTATGAATTCACAGTATAATTTTAATTTATTCCCTAGCAACTCATGAATCGGTCGGTTTTTTAAATTATATCATCTTTCCCAGCTGATGAAATACCACTTTGGGGTTTTTTTGTTTGTTTTTTTCAGTGCTAGGGTTTGAACTCAGGGCCTCAAGCTTGCTAGTCAGGTGCTCTGCCACCTGTGTCACTCTACCAGCACTGAAGTACCACTTTGACCACCAGGAACTATTACTAAACTTCTACTCTATAATGATTCTATTCTACAATGATTCTAATCTGTAATTATTTTTCCTTGCCAAAGGGAATCTTTGTTTACATTTAAAAATTTAGAAAATTTGCCTTTAAAAATACTTTTAAAGTGATTATGTCTGCTGCTGTGATAAGGATTTTCTATAATACAGTTTAACAAATATTAAGTATGTAACAATACTGTGCTTTCTAAACTTGTATTATAACATACATAATTTATTCTAAAGATAGGTTAGAATTCAAATGCTTTGTCAAAGGGGAGATTTTAAGATACTTGATCAATATTATCTACATTTTCTCAAATTTTTTTTATATTCCCTTGTGTGAGCAGTACCTGTTGTGACTGAAAGTTTACCATCACTAGGTAGTATGGGAGGTTTTTTTGTTGTTCTCTGGTTTTGGTTTTTTTGGTTGGGTTGGGAGTGGAACCAAGGCCTTGTGTATGGCTCCACCACTGAACTGTATCTTCAGCCCTACTATGATTTTTTTAAGTCTATTTGTTACATTTAGAATGCATTTTTTCTGTAGATGATTGTAAGTGTTTAATCAAGTAGTCACTCAGCCTGATTATTGATTTATTTACAAGTTGATAAAATAATACCTTTAATATATTAACTTGTTTTCTGTACTAGGAAGTATTCTGTTTCCACTGAAAACTGTTTTAAACATTTTAACTTATTGCAAGTTTAAAGTAAGATATATAAAATCCCTTGGGATTTTTATCATAATGGCATCACATTTATTAATTGGAGAAGATGTTGAGGGGAAATGTGTTATAGCTTTCTTCCCCATCTTATATTCCATAGCCAATATTCCTATAACAAAAGATAGGCTCACAAGAGAAAACTGTAAATGATTTATTTAAATCAAAGTTTTATGTTACACAGAGCCTTCATTAACATAGACCCAGACTCAGAGAAGCTGTTCATTTTTATGCTATATTTGATGAAGAATGGACAGTTGTATAGAAATATAGTTGGACAAAAAGGGGGTAGGCTGAAAGAGCACACAATCACTTTTAATTTTTTTCTAAGACCTTCCTTACTGTTTTTCCCATTTGTCCTGCCTATCTGTTCACATTCTTGTTGGGCTCTCTATGTGGCACTCCTTTCTTCCAGTTACAAGGCAGAACTGCTCTGGGATAAGGGACTTGTGATCTGCTTTCAGACACAGTAGTCAGAGAACTTCTTTATGGCCAGAAAGGGAAAGGTTAGAATAGTATTTCTAAGCTTTCTGTCTGTGGAGGAGAGGGATTCTAGCCTCTATGATATGCTTGAGGAAGAGATATTCTAGTTTCCATGGCCTGCTTTCAGATCAGGAGACATGGCAGGAGGTCAGAGAGAGACTGCTTCTGAGGCCTTCCTTCTCCTTCAAAGTACTCAGCATGCAAAAGTAGTATTTTGGAGGGCATCACTTCCTGACCCCCAGCATCTTTAACACTCTGAGTTCTGCTGCTCTGCGTGTCATCGTGATGGGGTTCAGGAAATACTCCCCTAAAATAGGATACCTTGCCATAATGATAGCTTGAACTGAAGTAGTTTGGGAAAAGGCAAGAAGGTTTTTGTGGCCTTCTGTCTTTATCCTCTAAAGAAGGTCATAAGACTCTAATATGGAAGATGCCATCCCTATACCCAGAGGAAGAAAATATCCTTATCTTTGAAGACAGAGGAATACTGAGACAAATTCAAATGAACAGGCCTTAACTAGGTTTCCCCTGCTTTGTAACTCTTAGTGAAATCATATGTAAGGCCCCTTTCTCCACCTTGGAGACCCAATTCTCAGAAGTTTCTCCTTGCTCCTGTTTGCTCTATTCTTTAAGGATTGGCTGCCCACTGAAGTCTATCTTTCATAGATTTTTTTTTCACTTTTTTTTTTATTGTTCTGGGGTACATTGTGTTATTTACAAAATTCTTACAATATTCAACTCCTCCATCTTTCTCCTTTACCCACCTCCCCCACTCCTGAATAGTTTCAACTCCTGGAATAGTTTCTTTCATAGATTAATCACACACTAGAGTTAATTAAATGCATAAACCCTCGCTTCCTGAACACTCCTATTCTCAAATTACAGGTCACACCTGGAAAGGTTCTTGCCAGAAATGCTGACAAAAAACACACAAGTCACTTTAACACAGAAACTTTAATCATTTATGTCTTCTTTAGTTCCACAGGCTCACAACTCTCCATGACCTGTGCCAAAATAAGATGTATACTGCCATACTTTTTGAAATGCTGGGCAGCTGAGGCACTCATATGTCTAGGACATACCTTTCCTTAAAAATGTCATCCTTAGGGAAAGGGGTAAGATGTGTTGTTGAAAGGTGAGCTCCCATCATCCGATATTCCAGCTTGTTAACAAAGCTCTTTCTCCATCATTTTACCTTTAATCCATTGATTCAATCAAGGGGCAGCAAATCAAATCTTGTGGTTACATTAGCTCACATTTGCCCTATTACATATTCCCACCACTTTTTACTCTTAACCAAACTCTTTCTATAATGTATAGTGTTATATTTTGTAATCTTGGTACATAATAAAGAACTTGACCTTTGTCCATGGTTCTTGAACGGAAAAGTCTGAATCCTTGGAATTTCCCCACCAACAATAAAGTCTGTATTTTTCCTGAACCTTTGTATCATATTTGAATTTGTATAAAGAAATAAGGTATATCATGATGGGGCTGATCACCAGAGAGACAACCATGTGATTAAAGAGTCAGGGTCATTGATTAAGTCCTACCTTCAGGGAGTAGAGATTGAACTCAATCATAGGGCCAGTGTTCAAAAAACCATGACTATGTAATGAAATCCCCCATAAAGCTCAGAACATAAAAGCTGGTGTGTTTCTTTGATAAATACATAGTGATGCAGGGAAGGTGACTTCCTGAATCCACAAGGGAAGGGCACAAAAGCTTTTCTTTCAGGACCTTTGTAGATCTTGCTCTGTATTTCTGATTTAACATGTCCTGATTTGAATCCTTTATGATAAAAAGGTAATTAAAAGTACAGCACCTTTCCTGTACTCTGTGAATAATTCTAGCAAATTATCAAACCATAAGCGGTCGTAGGAACCCCTGGATTTAGTATGAGCAGCCTAGGAACCCACTTTAATTGGTGTCTGAAGTGAAGGCAGTCTTGTTGGAAAAAATGCCCTTTAGATTGTGAAGTCTTACTACCTCCAAGTGATTATTGTCATAATGAAATTGCTGAACAGCAGCTGGTTTCAGAGTAACTCCAAGGCATTTCAGGCACATTGCTGAAAATGCAAAAGACAAAAATTAGGCAAACTGAAAATATCTACTTGCTTTTATTTTTGGTGGTACTGGGGCTTGAACTCAGGGCCTCATGCTTATGAGATATGCACTCTACCATTTGAACCACTCCACCAGCCCTTAAAAAATATCTAAAAATCATAGCCCAAAAATCTTAACATTATGATAGAAATATTCATCTTTTTCTATTTTTAATATATTTATACAGGCATGAGGATGAAGGAATTTGGTAAATGCCACTCTGAAATATGCCCCCTGGTACTTCAAATTGAGGCCATTTAGGGAACAGCAAATGCAGGGAGGGCTTTTTCACAACTTCCCTTATAAGACTAAAGAAAGATCATCCAAAGATAACTGGATTCTCATAGAATCTCATCAAGTACAGATTAAACACATCACAGGAGAAGAACCTGAAGGTCAATCCCACACCCAGACAGACTTTGCCACAGGCTATCACCTATTTTCCTAAGGGTCCTTTCATTATTCTTCCATGATTTGCCCTCCCCCGCCCACTGTCAAGAAGATACATAAGCTTCTAGATCTAAGTGAGGTTTTCACATTCGTTCTTCCTCATGTGATGTCCATGCTTTTTTCCTATTACGCTACCATCTGCTCCAAAAAAACTATAATGAATTCTGACACAAATTAGATACAATTAAATTAAAATACAATTTCTTCTTTTTCAGTGTTTTTGTGTAGATAATTAATACCCTGGAAGAGTAGCTAAGAGCCCAGTCTCTACTGTCAGACAAGTTTCGATTCAAATTGTGGCTACAGTGCTGTAATTTCTGCTCTTTAGTTCTTAATGAAGATGTAAGAGCCCAGGTTCTACAATTATGCAACATGTAAAACAAATGGTAGATACAGGGTACTTCTTTGTTGTGTAGATTCTTATGGTAGCATCTCCAGGCTGATAAGGGTTTCTGGTCCTTTTAATGACCAACTCTTGGTTTTCCTGTTGGAGAGGGGAGGAGGGACACATTTGTAAATATGTGTACCGCTTTTTAAAAAATAGAAGGAAGACAG